GAATCAACATGTGTACGTAAATGCTTGTGTTGGTGCCAGTATTGTTATGTAAAACTGAAATTTCTAGAAAACCTCCACATGCCTATAAATATAACCAACGTGCCAAAGAGAGAGCATCTATTATTAGTTTGCTAGAGTCAGTGTGCCATAAACTTTGGAAGCTATAACTGTGATTGTTATAATGCTTATCAATCGGAAAACTTCAGATATTTGACCAGGAGCATTTACAAAGTCCGAACGTTACAAATAATTTAACTTCAGTGGATTCTCATCGGACATTAGTATTTTTATGAAAACAGTACATAACGTCACGGTGGAAAACCTGGTGTGTGTGTGGCTAGTAAATTACAGAGGACAAATCTAGCTAGCTTCCCATTAAGTGAATGATACCTTAATTATACTCGTAATCGACTCGCTCATCGTGAACTCTCGATAAGATATCTAAGAAGTTCCAGACTAAAAAGAAGACTTTATATTGTTTGTAAGTTTGTGAAACTTTTGTATATAAATCATTGTTTGTAATAACTGTTATTGTAAAGTGTATTGTTCTGTGTATATTAAAACATATTTGTGTTAAAAAATAAAACTGTGTGTATCAATCTTGTTGACAAATATCATAAACTGACTATATATCGGCTTTTACTTAACTATTAAATCCAAAGTTCAATTTAACTACTAAATTTAAATTTATCAGTTAACTCAATTTCAGACTATTTGAAATTTTAATACATAACACCACAAATGTTTTGCAGGTCTCAGCTAGTTATCACATAAACAGTACTTATTATCACAATAGTTTACATAATTTCTGACTGAATGTACTTTAACAGTTTTAACATCAAGAATCTATCCATTACTCTATAATATAACAGGATTATTTAGATTATTACCATAGTAGTTGTAAGCCTAATATATTAAAATATTATGTAACTTTGGAATGTTAAAGAAACCTTTAACAAGGGTTAAAATTATCATTGTAGTCGAATGAAAGTTATTGGATTAAATACCAAGTATGTACTCACTTTTTTTTAAATCTGAGTGATTTTTTGCTTCATTTGTTCTGCGTCTATGTAAGTACCTTCTGTCATAAGGTAATCTATGTCCATTTTGTAGATAAGGCTGATAGGTTGGAGCTCTTGGCTTTTCTGCATACCACTCTTCTGGCTCACCATACCAATCTTGCCAGTCATGCCAGTCTTGGCTGTATGGGTCAGGCTCTTGCCATCTGTCGCTTTTGTGATAACCATCTGGATCTCCGGGTGATGAACTTACTCTGTCATCATACGGGTAGTTATACCTCATCTGTGCACTAGGAGGATCGATATGATGAACAGTTTTTCTAAAAGTGTAATAAGGTGGGTACTGATCATCATGTGAATCACCCATTGACACAGAACTGTGTCTGTGTGTCTCGGGTCGATTATGGGGCCAAGGATAAGGCTTGTAATGAGTTTTCTCTCGATATCTACCTGCTGGAAGTCTTACGTCCATTTCTGGTGGTCTATCTAGTGCCCCATGATCTTCATCTGTCCATTTTTTTCTCCTTGACTTGGATAATTATAATAGTCAGTCCAATAATCTGGGTTCTTCTCAAGAAACTTTAAACCAATTTCAGTATAATTTAAGGAATTTCGATGTTCAACTTGTTGCCTTGTATCTGTAACAAATCGAATCTGAATCTTAAATTTCAATTAATGAAGATAATAAATTAATCATACAAACACAAATAATATATATATGTTTTAATTTTTTCTTTATTGAGCACTGTTACTGCTACTTTGTTATAGATTTAACTCATATGTTTCTCAGTCTGGTTTTTAGACTATCACTTTTCTGAAGAAAATTGATAACTTTTCCAAAAAATCAATTTTTTCTTTTGTATTCAAATTTTTATTAACTTTTGTGAACATATTTTTCATATGTTATTTCCTGGACAAACCAATATTCTCGATGTTTTCAGAATAGGTTATTTTCATGCAGTAATTAGACCGTCTTCCACCTCATTATATTACATTCGGGTATGCAGTTAATGTTATGTTAATGGTTTATGTTCTGAAAATTAATTTCAAATCTAAGAAAATATAGGTTTAAAAAAATACTTACAATATTACTATAAGTTATATTTG